GTAGAAAATAATTCCGGATAATAAAACTTCAATCTTTAATGAAAACCAAAAAGTCAACCCTGGGCTCGCACCTCGGAACCGGACAAAACTTATAAATTCCGAATACACATTCCAATATGAGCCCAACCATACCAAATTCATTCCATTCCGACCTCAAATCGGCCTTTAAACCATCATTTATGTTTTAGAAAGTTTTTACTAAAATCCTCAATTTCTCCAATTTAAATCATTAATCAAACACTAAAATTGAGGTTGGAATCATAAAAAAATAACAAATCTAAGTTAAAAATACTTACCCTAATTCAAGTAGTAAAGCCCCCCTCCAAAATCGCCCAAAATCGAGTTCCAAAACCTTGTGAGAAAAAGTAACTAAATTCTGAAACAAGAAAAACAAATACAGCAGTTGTCCCCGCTCGAATCAGGTCTCAGATGATCCCAAAACTCACGTTTGATAAGCCTAACATAATGGTAGTGAGAATACACCCAAGATAACCTCTTGAATCACCCAATTTGGCTTTAAAATGAGGGAGATATGGTATTTTGAAGTCTTAAAAGAAATCTGAAAATCTCAGGGATATAAATGGTATTTTCGTAATTACTTGCACCAGAAAAAAAACGGCAATAAGAAAATCTTTGTTTTAGCACCCCAAAACTCATTTAGAACCTCCCGGATCCAAACCATATATGCATTTCAATCATAAAATACACTACAAACCTACTCGCGCACTCAAAAGACCAAAAAGAGGTCATCTTGACCCGATATTGACCATGGTCAAACTTCAAATCCTTAACTTAACTAGTTTCTCAACCAATGATCCAAAGCACACCCAAGTCTCTCGGTACCCCATCAAATCGTACAAAAAGTACAAATACATCATCCAAACTTATCCAAAGCCTCAAATCACACACAGGAACATCACAATAAAAAATCGAGGATCAAACCGAATAGAATTTCTCTTAAGTTGTTAAATCTTCACTCTTTCAAAAGAGTGTCCGAATCACACTTAAACACATCGGATTACTTTCAAACTTTGCACACAAGTTCAATTCAACTATATAGATCTATCCAAAGTCTCGAAACACCAATTGGAGTCCAATAACATCAAAGTCAACTCTTGGTCAAACTTATAATCTCTTAAGTTCTTCAAATTGTCAACTTTTGACAAATAATGTCGAATTATTCTAGGAACCTCGAAAACTAAATCCGGACATATGTACAGGTCCAAAATAATCATACGAACCTATCAGAATAATAAAAATCAGATTCCGAGTCTGTTTGCCCAAAAGTCAAACATTGGTCAACTCTTCCAACTTAAAGATTCTAAAACAAGAATCATTCTTCCAAATCAATCCCGAACCGCTCAAAAATCGGAATCAATCATACACGCAAGTCATAATACATAATATGAAGCTACTCAAAATCTCAAACCACCAAATGGAACGCTAAAGCTCAAAACGACCGATCGGGTCGTTACACCGAGTGGAGCTAAGTTGCTCGGACTCGGGTGCGGGTATCCGATACGGGAACGAATTCGAGTATCGGATTCGACATCTAAATTTTAAGATTCGGGGGTGCGGATCCTGATATGGATACCGGTGCGGGGATTCGGCAAAAAAAATTCAAAATAATAAAATATTGAGCTATAAAAATATTATAAATTTTGAGAGATATTAGGTGAAAAACTTACATGAATATTGTAGAATTCAATCTTTCACTCTCCAAAAATATGAGACAAAAATACTATAATATTGAAGGTATGTCATTTTCCATAACTTAAATCTGTTTTATTTTTGATTTTGAGAAATCAAAATCTCAATTTTTCTCCCAAATTGGTCGACGAACTCTGGTCAAAGTTTCCGAAGTCAATTGACCGAATTCGAGACGTATCTCGCTCCTGTCCCCGTCTTGTATCGGGACGGGGACGGCACTAAAATCGAAGAGTCCGCACAACTTAGGGAAGGAGAATAGGAGAAGTCAGTGATGGTCAAAGGTGCTTGTCCAGACTCCGGTGGCCATGTAATGAATTACCATCAAAAGATTGCTCTCATCAAGAGAAATCGACTGATGTCGATTTCAAACTCAAATCGACCAAGACTGGGAATAATTAAGAAAATGGGACAAATTAGGTTTCTGTAATCTCTTAGATCTACTAAACGAAGCGATTGGGAGGGATTTCAGGGAAACTAACAACGGATTTGAATTGAGGAGGGGTTGGGGACTATGGAGTGATGATTTGGGGTTATTTGGAGATAGCCCTCCATCGTAGGCGATTTCTAACGGGCGGTACACGGAGGAGAGAGGTGAGGAGAAAACAAGGTGTGAGAGGGAGGTCTTTGGGGTGGGGGTCAGGTATTTGGACATTTTTAAGTGATGGGGGAATCAGCTCCGGACCATTGGATCAAATGAAATGAAATGAAGGGTGGAAGCTAGGGCCAAACGGCGTCGTTTTGAGTCTTTGAAAGCCAAACACGAGTTGACCGAGTGAGAGTGAGGATTTGGAGCTGGTCTTATGGAAATCGGGCCGCTTAAATTGGCCCAGCTGTTTAGGAGAGAAGCCCAACAGACTTCTCCTTTTCTTCCTTTTAATTTCAATTTTAGCCATGCTAATTAAAATCCTAGGTTAAATCCCATTTTGTGCATATAGCCCATTCCTCTATTTTACCCAATATTAAACTAATTAAAGTGTGAATTAACCATCTTAACTAATTAATTAAACCTAAAAATGATTAATGTATTTTTTTTGTGATTTTCATGTTGTAATCAATGCATTTAACATGTAATTAAATCCTAAAAATACAATCAAGATCTAAAAATTATAATGAATGAGAGATAAAATATTTTTGATAATTTTCTGTGATTTTCAAAATATTCCTAATGATGCTAAAATGTAAATAGTCTAACGAGGCAACAAAATGCAATCAAATAATTAAACAAAATTCCTAAAACCTTACAAAAATAATTAAAAATTATTTTAGAATATTTTAGGAGCAATTTATGCAGAGGGCAAAAATTACTTGCTCACAAACATGGCAAAAGAAAGTTCATTACTTTCCTTAGGCGTATGAATTGGATCCCAATATATAAATTTTTAATTCTTTTCTTAAATAACTAAGTTTCACTACCCTTCTGCCATTGCTACCGTCATCCTTCCACTGCTGCCGCCGCTGTTTCTTCTACCTACTTCTGCTACCACCACCAACCTTCTCCCTCCCACTCTATCACTACCACCTACCCTTACCCTTCCTCCTCATCTCCCTACCACCCCAGCCGCCACCATCTTCTTCCTCACCACCTGTCTGCCATCACTCACCATCGCCAAGAACCACCATCACTCTCTTTTTCTTCTCCTTGCACCTCGGTAATCAAACACAACCATCAAACAAACTTTCCATCACTAACAACCCAAATCAAGCCTCCCTTCATCCAATAGAACCACGTCGGAAAATAAAATAAATAAGGGAGGTAGAGACCAAATCGAAAAAAAGCCCATCACCAGGAACACCAGTAACAAACTTCAATTGATTTCATCCATTGCCACCACAATCTCACAAAAGTAAATTAAAGATGTTTTATCTATTTGTGCTACTATCTTGTTTGTTATTTTTACTACAATAAAAAATTATTATTGGTTATACTGGTAGGATGATAATAATTATGTGTATGGGTGAAAAGGGGGAAAGGGGTATTGTGAAAGAAGATGAAAATGGGTCTTAGGAAGAAGAAGACAGGATGAAGGTGGGGGAGGGGGGGNAAGGGGCTATGGAAGAAGAGGCTTTTTTTTCCTTTTCTTCATATGTTTTCTTTTATGTTTTCTTCAAAGGCCCCTTTTTTTTAGATACAAAAATTATGTGGCTGTCTATGATTCGTCAACTTTGCCATGTCAGTATGTGTGCAGTTCACGCATTTTAACTTGTCTGCATAGATAGTATGTAGTGTTCAATAGGTACACTTTTATCGAAGTTTAAGCATTCAATAGGAATAACCTTAAGTTTAAGCGTCAAAATGATATTTCGAGCCAAGTTTAAGGAGTCGTCTAGGTATTTGGACATACATGAATCAGGCAAGGCATGAATAACACTAATTCTACTCGAGCATGCTATAACCCTGGCAACGCATATACGCTCGTCACCATGCATATACGTTGGCCCCAACACACTTAGCACATAGCAAATAAACTATTTACAACCTAATTCCCTCAAGTCAGGATTAACCATACCTACCTCTTCCGGAACAAGTTCAACAATACAATACCAGTTTTCCTTTAAGAACAAGCTTCCAAACAACTCGAATCTAGCCAAATAATACTTAGATAAGTCAAGACATGCCTTAGGAATCATTCTTTTATTAAAAAGGTTGGACATTTACCTAATTTAGAAAAGTCAACAGAAAGTCAACTCGAGCCCACATGGTTGAAATCCGAAATTAAAACCAAATCCTGATGACTCATTCACCCCCGAGCTCAAATATGTGATTTGCATCAAAATCGGACTTTAAATCAAGGTCTAAATCTTTAGAATTAGTTCTCTCAAGTATAAACCCAAAGCCTCAATTTCTACACTTTGAACTTCTATATTTAGGGTAAAAATTTGTAGGAAATCATGATAATTAATCAAAACTACGTTAGAATTACTAACCTTTGAAAGTTGGAATGAAAATCCTCCCAACAATGCCTCTTTACGAAGTCTAGGTCTCAAAATGGAGAAAAAATAACTAACCTCGAAGCCCTTTACTTTTCCAGATGCAAAAATGCAATCACAGGTGCGACACAGCAAAAGTGACAAAATGGTCCGCAGATGCAATCCATGCAAATATCGCAGATGCGACCAAGCTCTCGCAGATGCGACCAAGCTTCTGCAACCAACCCTCTGCAGGTGCCACCTCCCAAGGTCTCGAATAAAAAAAACGGAGTGCTAAGAATAGTTCGTCGTTAATTGTTCATCGTTAATTACACTATCCCCTATATCGTGGTTTTGCATGGAATAGTATGAGCATTGTTCAGTGCTTTCAGAAAATATTCAATTAATTGTGTCTAGAAAAATGTTTTCTAATTCAACATACAGAATAACCACACCTAACATCTTAATGAACTAAATGTCATGCCGAGGCTAATTTTATCGTGAAAACCAGCCCTTTGTAGTAGACAATATGTTACACTGAGTACACAACTTGTAAATTCTTAATAAACTACTCTATTGAATCTTGTGGTTCTCAGATCTGGATTTATGTTTTGATTGCATCAAAATCTACTGTTTGGAATGCTCCAATTCTCCTCAGAGCATGTTGCTGCTGGAGTCGATGAAAGGCATAATTTATCCGAGTCTTTGTGTATGGAACTCAAGAATTTACAGGACAAAAGAATCTTCAAGTAACAACATCTATTCGGACTTCTCAATTTCTCGGAATCTCTGCTCCCATTGTTGTGCATCATAATCTTGCTCGTATAAGTCCTTGTCTGTACTGTAAACAATTCGATCTTGGCCAATAAAAGTCCTCTGTGCCATATCCCGGGCACTCAGAAGCTGAAAATTATAGAAATAGTTAAGATAGTTGGGAGCTATTGAAAATAGGCATGCCTAGATGTTAGTAGCAAATGTTGTGAACATAATCAAGCATCACAAGTATTGCCTTGTCAAGTAAGGCCTGACAAAATCCTAAAATACCAGATATAAATCTTATAGAAACTCAAATATTGGATTGTTTAGCGTGGTAGAAGATTGTATAAGGATCATAACCCCCCCCCAACACACACACACACACCAAAAAGAAAAAGGATCTACTGTCCACTTCTTGCCAAATTAAGAGGTCCCCTCTACTTTTTCCTTTCCACTTGCAGAGTTACATGTTAAATATCCAAATAATACTTCAGACTATAACCAAGTATAAACAACTTCGCCAGCCACATATTGCTTTACCAGCATTTTCTTAAGTTTTCTTTAGCAACATGTAGCATTTACTAAAGATTGTGCATGGCACTCCTTCCAAGAAGCATTCTCATATGGGATTTGATTTAACGAACTCATAACCCAATAGACGTTTCAAGTAAAGATGTATGGCAGCTGCCTCCATTAACTTAAGGTAGGATGATAGGACCACAGAATAACATAATCATGCAATCCAAGTTCTAAACACCTTCTCACCCGCCCCCACGCCCCCCCAAAAAAACAATTAATTATGTATAGCTAGGTTTTCTTAGATATAGATGTTATTATTGTAAAATGTGCAATTTGAAGTGAGGAAACTGAAGTTCTGAAATGGGGAAAACATTAGCAAACTAAGCAGAAAACTATTCATACCTTTCGCTGCAGTGACAGGTCAGGCCGTTCAAGTGCTCGTGCATATTGTTCCCTTGTTTGATTTCTTCTTTCAATATCAGCATTTCTCTTTCGAACAAGAAACCATCGGATCAGGGGAATGGTGAAAAACGAGCCAGCATAAATCTGCCAAGTAATACCATACAGTTAAAAAATGAGTACTTTGAAATGCTTATTTACTTCCAAAAAACAAATGAATACATCCGAGTCACATTAAAGACTGCATGATATAAGAATCAATCAAGACATTTTGTTTGCAATTATTGTCTAGCGCTTGAGTTTACTATAATTAATCTACTTTACCTGAGGCCAAAATTCACAAATAGCAGATGATTTCAGGCTCGATCATGGTAAAATTTAAGTAATAACAATCAGGCAACCAGAGTAGTGAAATGTGAAAAGTGCAAAAGTCTGCAGGGGCAGAGGAATTAAAGCATGAGCTTTAACGAAGAAAGGCGCTTAAAAAAGAAGAAATGAAAAAATATATATGTAATGCAACAAAAAATGATTACAAACCCAAAAGATAACTATTTAGAAAAAAATAATTGAAATAACTAATATTACGTAAAATATTCAAAGTAAAAAGAAAGTCAATCAAGCTTAAAAACCATCTTAAGTTTTTTTATTTTTTATTTGTATGAGAAGATGTAATTTTATGTTTTCAAAACTAGTTTTCTTATACTAAAAGAATTAATCTCTTATTCCTTTCCTTTTATCAGCATTTAATTTCTTATTCCTAATAATTAAAAACTCATTAATAGCTTTTATTAAAAATTAATTTATTAGTTTGCCAGCTATATTTATTATAGCACTGCCGCTTAAAAACACAACCCATGGGTGATGAACCGCACACCTTAGCACCTTAGCGCAAACACTACAGCGCCACATAAGCAAGGGGAAGCTCATAATCTAGCTTTAACTGAGCTTCAACGTTTAAGTGCGCCTCAAATAAGCCTTTAACAAACTGCAAGCCATATTTCAAGATAATGTTTTCGCAGTTACCGAGTCACTTTACAACTAATCAAGCAGATCATCCAGTTCAAAAGAGTATTAAATTCTTGATGCACTAAATGACATTGAAAGAAAAAGAGCAAAATAACCAAATGAAGTAATCAGCTCCATGTTTTTTTATCACCCAAAAAGATGTCAAGAAGTCTTTATATGCTGTGATTGCATACAACATGAATGTTCTCAAGTGAGAACTAAACAGTTGCAGACGTGAATGATCTCAATACTTGGATGATATAATACACTAAAACAAGTTTTGCTCAGGAACGATACTACAGATGATACCTGAAGTAATGGAAATATCTCTGACACAAATGAGATGAAGCTACTTGGACTGACTGTCATGTTCCTTCAAAATACAGTTAAGTGATAGATGTAAGAAAAATGTAGAAGCAAAACTTGAAAAGTCTAAAGACCACATGGAGACCCATACTTCAACATGGTACCAAGAATAATGACTCCAAACAGATTGAGCCCACCCAATCCAATGACCAATGCCTTTTCTGATGAGCTTGTTTTACTGAAATGTAAACACCCATGTTAGAGAACTTAAAGTTAAATCCATAGGTGATGAATTCAAATCACCAACAACCAAGACAAATGATACCTAAATTGCCACTTCTTTTCTTGCAGAAATCTTTCCACCTGTCCAACCCAGTCAGTCCATCTTTTTCCTACGTACTCCTTCCTTCCACTTCTTTGTGGAGCAGCCGTACGCTGAAGAGATGGAAATCGGTACAGGATATTTCCCTGGAAAAAAAAATTATACGACAAGAACGTGAGAGAATAGTGGAGTGTAAAAAGATTATTGGGCCCGCAACATAGGGAAAGAGACATCAAAAGCTCCTCAACAACCACGGACTTATGCAAATAGCCCCCAGACCTACTTGCCTCAGTAGCCCTTCATATCACTTTACAACACAGCGCCCTATGTTGGTTGCTTGCATAAGAAACTATAAGAACATTTACATTAGGTCCCAAACTTCTATGCAAATGCCAGACACCTTGCAATATACACAATACGGCAAATCAACCACTACTTTTAATTTGATCATTGAAGTAAAGAGGTGCTCTTTGTATTCGAATGCAGAAAAAACCTTTAATAGACATCGAGAAAGAAAAAAGATGAGCTAAAATGAAACAAATGCTTACATCACCATGCATATTATAGCAGTGACTCTCTTTCATAGTCCCCTTTGTTGTTTCTTTTAGTTCAACATTTCTATTTTCATTTAAATTGTTGATGTCTAAATCCGGAATAAAAAAAATAGAAATGACTTCTTTATACCATATCTTGAGCTTTATTATCCAAACTAGTTTCTGGACACGTACGTTGCACGTATATCCCTGGTTAATTTGTACAAATTATTTAAATATCACTTAGAAAATAAAAGGTATTTGAGCTATAATTCAAGATAAAAAAAAATAGAAGTTTCATGTTCAAAATGATGAATGTTGATATTACATATTGAATATGCAGCAGAGGTTCCTGGAATTTTTGCATCACTTTACCTCCTCTTGATATCCAAATTTGAACAGAGAAATCTGAAAAATATCTTGAACCTTTCTCTTCTTTCTTCTTCTTATTTATCTTAGCTTTATTAGTCATAAAATAAATTTACTCAAGACCTCTAATGAATATGCCATGAATAGTTGTTCTTTACCCACTATATCTCTTCAATGTTCTCCATAATACTATACATTATTGTCATTTGATATGTTCCTTCTAAAATTTCTCTTCATAAAATATTCAAATTTCCTTGTTTCTACCTCTCTATGTACATGTCAATCACAAATTTATGTAATAATATTCCATATATATAATAATAGTCTGGACCTTTCTCTTTTGTTTCCATGGTTGTCATTTAAAGCAGTAGTACATGACATACATAGCCAGTAGCTTCATGATGTACGCATACAAGTAAGACTTTGTATATTCTTCTGGTTATTCAATGTTTAAAAAGAAGTGCATCACATAAATAGTGCTCTTTGTGTTGCTATTTACTCCTAAGTTATCTATGTATGGCATCCCAATCTAATGCATCCACAAAGTATTCAAAATTATGCTCCAATATAACCAATGTATTCTTCCAAAAGTGCTGATATACAACAAAAGTTTTTATCTTGAACTTGAGATCCAAAATTCACAATTTTTGCATGTTTTCATCTTTAGCAAATGCTACTTATGCTGCTAAATCGAAGACTGAATTGCATTCGCCTTTGGCATTTTCATTAGGGCCATTTTCCTCATGCTGCCTCGTTTTCCTATTCCACTTACATTAAATCTTTAGTTGTTCCTTTATCGTCTTCATTGACCATAATTGGTTAATTGGGGGGATAACTTTCATATTTCGAGTAATCTCCACTTGGTTCCATATGTACAAACACAAGGCGAACTCCTTCCGGGAAAAAATGCAAAAGAAATGTTGTAGCCTCCATTAAGGAATGTACAATATACCTATTGGGGTTGAGATGAGTTTTTCATGTGTGTGCTTTCCTAACTCTTTTTCTTTTTATTTTCACTACTTTTACCATAACCTAATTGTGTGGTCTCATACAAAAAATGAAAAGTCATAATAGAGAGCAAACGTGAAAAAGTACACAGAATGTCCAAGAAATAACTTTGAGATGAAATTGATCTGCGGAAGATACGATCATAAGGAGATAACAGTGATTTAGCCAGCAAGTTTAAGATGTAAAATAACATACTAAATTTGACCAAAGAGTTTTACGAAATGGAAAGAAGAGAAAAATTCAGAATATATATGGAAAAAATCACATAGAAAATTGCCTGACAAAGAATGATGATAGATTTAAAGTCCAGCCAGGTGGGAGACAAAGAGCTCCACTTTTGGTTCCTTTAAGAGAAGTTGCTTGTCTCGTTTTCTTTCTTTGATGAACATCCTTGTTCTATGTTGAAATCAGCAATACTTTGTGATTCTCATCATATTTTAAGAATTTTTAGAGTAGCCCAAGCATTCATGGTATATTGGTGCCCAAGAATCTACCACTTTTGGTTGTTATAAAATAGTACAAGTAGCAAACATGACTTTTCGTATTTCAAATGGAATATGGACAAAATAAACATCCCATGAATTTACTCTAGATGGGAATACAAAGAACACGGGAGTTTTCAAAGAATACCAAATACATTAAAGATTATATTTGATATATTAAAGAGACAGTATGGTGGCTGATGCAGTGTATAGTATTCAAATGTGAGGGAGTAATATTGATTTAAATGTGTATTTACATTCTTGTACAAAATATTAGAGGAGTAATGATTGATTGAAGGTTAAAAAGGTCAGTTAAGTTTTGGTAATTCAAGTTTGACATTAGGGTCTTCCCACTTTTAGTATAGTGTGATGATCTGTAGATTAGGAATAAGATTTGACTCACTTCGAAATTTGGAGGATATATTTAACCTTTTCAGATATCCCTTCAGGATCAACTTATGATAACCAATGCTCTTTCAAACAGCTCGAAATTATGATTCGGCTAGAGTTCAGGTCTGAATCTGAGATGAGTATGTTAAATTTTTGGCAGATTCTTTAGAATGTACAAGGTACCATATCCATGTCATAACCAATCAACACAAGTACCTTACATATTGGAGATTCCATGCAACAGAGTGAAGAGTCTAAATGAAACGGCTGGCAGAGGCAAGAGTGTTAATAAGGGTTTATTTGAAGTGAGGAGATAAAAGTTTAGTGGGTCAACTGACAAATTCACAGAAGTTTAATAACTTCTGATGTCTATCGCCCCGCTAGGTTTCAGAAAATGACACTGGAGACTTCACACAAGAAAATTCAGAAGCTAAAAATGATCCTCGAGATATCTTGAAGCCAAGGTTGCACTATCGCAGAGCACACCTAATCCTTTTATAAAGCCATGTGCACGGAAAAAGCCTTCATCCATAATAATCTGAAGTGAAAAATTCAAACAAATATATTACAGATAGAGCTTTTCCATACCTCCTCATCTACTTCTGGTTGACCATCAAACCGCAAAAGCACCGGAAGGATGTAGGACTCATCATCCTGTCAGGAAAAAACCACAGAGAGGTAATTCATAGGTCAATTCAGATCAGTTTTCAAGCCAAATTTTAAAGACATAAGCAAGTGCTAGACTAATCACCACAGTTCAAGAGCTAGATAATGGAGTGCAAAAAACACAGAAATAAAGCAAGAAAGACAATTAACAAGATATTAGGCACTGGATCATGAAAACATGAACCCTTGGGTTATCAAATGTTCAATGGATTTGAAAATAGTTTTCCTGAAAACGCCGTATAAACAAAAATTATAGCAAAACTTCTGCAGTGTCAGCAGAAAGAAAAAGCAAACAATAATGAAAAAGAAATCCAACATTTCGATCATGTACAGCCGATCAAGTACCGTTTTGTTAGGAGTCTCCACATCAAGAAAGGGAGCAAGTTCTTCAGCAGCAACAACGCCACCATTTGATGATATATATTGCCCTACCTGCAAAAAGTTTTTAGACAATGGTAACTACTACATATTACAAGAAATATCTGATTATAACATAAAAATGTAAAAGTTAGCGACTGTAGATATATTAAACTATTAAAATCAGAAAGTAAATAGCTCAAACATTGTACAAACATACCATTTCAATGACAAAGTAATGCCTCACACTGAGTGTCCCAAATGAAATCACTTGGTGAGTTAAGAAGAGTTCTTATTTGGTCATCAGAGTAGACACTTTCAAGCTATTAGCGTGTTTCTTCAGTATCATCTAAGGCTAGAAGTTCCATCGGATATTAAACATGGGGCTATGAGAAGTCACCAAATTCAACCCAATCTGTTTCTATTTTTCTAAACTAGGATACGAAAATCAGCAGATATCGGCACTACTAAAACTAGCAAAACAACACAACACTCAACGTGATTAGATGCCAAATTATTATTACTCCAAGATTGTGTTATGTTTTCCAATTGTCTATTGTTTTTAAATAGCTTGCAATAATAAAACACGTTGCAGGCATTTTTCTCATTATTCTTCTCTATTTTCTGCACCAACAGTTGCGGATCCCTTTCTTTGACTTCAAACTTCTTTGAGTGTCCTTTTAGTTTAGTATCAGAAATGAAGATCAACGTAACCATAAAGGCACTCAATAGACTAAATAAAAGTTTATAATTCCTTTTGAAGTAGCTCAGCAAAGGGCATTAAGCCACTAATTTATTGCATCCAAGATCCAATGATTGATAAAGTAAGAAGCCAATTTTCAGCCAATTATTCATTATGGAAAATCATACACCCATGATCCAATAGTCAACCAAATTTTAATTCATTCCCAGCCCGAAGAAAGAAAAAGTTAACAGTAAGCGCTGATAATCCTAAATAGCCACCATGCAAAAATGTACTTCCTCACTCTTTCTATTCATCGCTCAATTACCCAAGTAGAATCGTGAGACAATGAGAGGAGCATTGACATTCCCCCCC